TGTCCCACGGGTGCTGCCCCGGACCGGCGTCGTGATGACTACCTTGCCGGCGAAAGACAGCGCCGTTCATTTCATCGCAAGATTGAAGCATTTGGAATAAACCAGGGGTGGCCAGGCTAACCCGGCCTAAAAGCCGCAAACAAAACCACGAAACTTCCAAGAGCCGTGGGGGGGGGGGCACACCTTTTGTTGAGAGCAATAAACGAAACTCAAACTACTTTCAATCTATCCTAGTCAAAAGCAGATAAGACTACCAAACCGCAATCTGTCTTTCGATTTAAAACTTGTTCTATTTGCTTGGGGAAGTGTGTGTGTGTGTGGGGGGGGGGGGGAGGAGAATGTAGGAGAGGGAGCCGCGAGCCGCACTTTAACATGCGAAGAGCCGCATGCGGCTCGGGAGCCGCAGCTTGGCCACCCCTGGAATAAACCGTTTTTCCAAGTGAGAAAAAGTTTAATTTCTGTGTCCAACCTACAAAATCTGGTGCGCATAACAGTCGAGGTCATCGCAATTTTTCTTTTTTTTTTTCGCTCTTCGAAAAATGGCTGCGCGTTAAAATCGAGGGCGCATTAGATTCAAGCAAATATGGTAGGTCTTGGGCCCAATTACGCTTAAGAATGCATGCTCCTTGAGATTGTCCTTGACTTTGTTCACATGTAAAAAAAAAAGTGAACCTTTGTTCATATAAAGGCCAGTCACTCACATTTTCACTGAAGGCTTTTATGTGTCCTATGTGATTGGAAGATGTCATAGTGAGAAGTGCGGCTGCTGTGCTGGGTATTCAGCTGAGTTCTGGCTGGCAGTGCTACGCTGTATCCTTCGTCGCAGTTTCACGGCTTCCTTTCTGCGTCTTGAGTCCACTTCGTCATCCTTGTCACCATTTGTTATGTTCGCGGTCAGATACAAGTGTGAAGCGGTAGAATGCTGCGAACTACTTTATGCGGCGGCATCCAGGCTGTTCGCTTTTGTCTTGCATGCTGCTGTGGTCTTTTTATAGCCCCCTGGTGACGTCATACTCTCGGCGTCGATAGCGGGACAGCAGCAGCCTCTAGCATTTCTTTGCCCGATATCCTATGCAGGAGAAGGGCGTATGTTGCTGACGAACGTTTGCTGCTCAGCACCTGTCGAGTTACACTTGGATAGACGCGTCGTTATCGACAACCTCAATGTTGAGGTTGCCGGCGGCGCTTTGCAACACAAATGTGCATGCGTGCACAGCGAAGAAGACAGCACATCATTCACTTTGATGAATGCAAAACCTTTTCTTACACCAGCCTTCACAGATTCAGAAAAAACAACAATCGGAGAGGCTGTGAATAGCCCTGATGCACGCCACGCAAGCTAGAATGTGAAGCTCCAGGCTTATGTTAGAACATTAATTTTTTTAATATAAAAAGCAACTATGAGGCATTGCTATTCTTTAGGAAGATCACATATACAAATGTCATACACGTTCCTTTAATAAATAAACCATTATTAATCGGCCTAGATCCAAACTCTTATAGCCCCTTCAGGCTTTGACAAAGCTTGTCGCCAGGAGTCGTCCTTGAGGTCGTCCTAGACGTCCTTGAGGATGCCCTTGTTCGTAACCATGAGGATGTCGTCCTCGTTACGAAATGAATAACCTCGGATCATTACATATATATGTCTGATTTTTTATTTGTTCAAATAACCAATTACACCATCACAACTTAATCCTTACATTTATAAATACTTCATTCCCACCATAGTACAGCTTCGCTGGTCTTCTTCACCAGAGTGGAAAGACAAAGTTTTTTTCAGTATGGCAGTAACAGGTCCATATTATTTTGGTGAAGTTAAAAATGTTTTGTTGGCAACGTTTCATGCATGCACGATTTTATTGATATTGTTGACGTTTCATGGAAACTGTTTCAGCCTTGCGACATTTCGTCAACAAACTTTTTCTTTTCTTCTGCTGGGTCGGTTGAATTTAATAGTCGGCTTCATTTCTTTTCATTCTTTTTTTTTTTCATTTGCTTAATACCAGAAAAGAAAAATTAGACTGAATTTACTTTTTAGCAAATGAACCACCGACGGCGGGGCAAGCTATGTCCCAAACATACCACTTGATCACACCTCGCTTTGTCCCTCTGCTTGGAGCCTCATTGAAACCGCCAAGGGTTCAGCAAGCTAGGGAAACACATCGGAGGAAATTGGAACGGGATGCTGGGTGCCAGAGGCGGGGCAAGCTGTCGACGAAACAAACATTCATGAAGCAATCTGTTGATGAAACATTGGATGTCGACAAAGAGATCAGTTCATGAAACGTTTCAAAAACTGGTTGCCACCAGCAATAACTGCCTGCTGTTACAGACTTTAGTGATTTTGTCAGTTGAATAGCCAAACAAATCTTATACTTTTGCCGATGATTTGGCTTACCTCCCTCTGGGACTATTTGTCGCTCCAGGATTTGTGAGCGGAGTCATGAGGAAAGGGAGACAAACATAGCCCATGTCCCCCAGCAGGACACCGGGCACTCTGCTGTCCTCGTAAAGGGCCGGTGAACGACTCCCATCAAAGATGCGGCTGTCGTTCACATATCCTGGAAAAATTGCCACAAAATCGAAAAGTTGCAGCTGTGGGACAGCGGTTGCCTGCAGGTAGATAACATTGATCTGTAAAGCCAGTGATTTACACAGGCCCTAAAATGCACCTGCTAAATGTAAGAGTACATGAAACCTATGGTACGTTCATGGCTCGCCCAGTATCAACCTCACAAATTTGTAGCACCTACCGTAGTGACGATTCTAGTCGACCCCCCGTTAATTTAATAGCTTGCAAGCGTCGCCATTGCTGGGTACTGACGGTGATTTCTACTTACTGGTTTCTTCGAACTACAATTTCTGCGGTCTGAAACTAACACGGCAAACCAAATGCTTGTGGCACATTTAATACTGGCGTGGCTCATGAATGATGCCACATGCAAGCTATGTGTGCACTGCGCCATCACTATTTCGAGTGAGCCCAGAGGTGCACGATGAGCAGCAACAACACAGCTGATGAAAGGGTATCCCCATGTTTTACAATATTCGGGTTGAGCAGCTGAAATTGTCTTGCATGAGTATTATCCATGCTTCACAGCCTGGCAGTTTAGTCAGCAAGCTATGTCCATAAGGTGGACATTATAAGAAATAAGGGTGCACCTGCACTTTCAAGAAGACCCCTTTCAATTTCGGTAAACTTCTGCATCATCCCCGCCGAGGCTCCTGATGCACACGTGGGTGCAGTCGATGCAACCCGTGACGCCAGGGAACTGCCCCATTCTGTACAAGTCGAGCATGACGGTGTGGCACTCCGACGCAGCTGGGAAATGCACCAGACGTCTGAAGAGCACGCTCACGATGAGCATCATTATCATCCTGACTATGTGGTAGACCGTTGGGTGGGAGACATGCACCAGGTCTCCCGTCACCGTCTGGAAGGTGCCGGCGCCGTAAAAGCGAAGGGTGACAAGCAAATGGAGCAGGGCTGTGAGCGAGTCCTCAGTTGTTGCCGCTTTGCTGGAGAGGCAGCAGCATCAGCAGTTACCTCACCGTCGCCTTCGTTAAGTGATATCTTGCGAAGAACTGTCATTATATAGCTCCATCGAGTTCAGGTGGTTCGACAGATTCCGTCGCGGCGCCGATGGACCAAGCGGGTAGATAATGCCAAACACAAGGTCGCACGCATGAGTCGCAAACTCAAAAGACACAATCCTGCAAGCGGCATCGCTCCGGTAACCCACCCTCTTTTGTGATGAAGGGAGCTCGATGTGTTTGAGGCGAGTTGAAGGGCGGCGCCACCACTCACTTGAAGTTTTTTGAGAAAAGTTGGAATGAAGTGCGAGGCGAGGGAGCGTTTCAAGAAAAGGGGGATTTATGAAATCTGATGATACCCACTTAAGGGCATTGGAAATTAAGTTCAAGTGAAGTGGGATCTATGAATTCGGCAATAAGACTCCTGTCCTGGCCTGAGCCAGCTAAGTGCTCCCTCTGGAATTATTGCCTTGCCAAGGTGTGCCCACGGTTACCAGACTGATTTTTGACCAAAACGTGGCTGCCCAGAAATGTGCATAGGTGAAAGAGGCCATACAAGCTAGAAAGTGGCCACAGACTACAAACTGGAAGGACATTGTAACATAAGGAAAGAAAGAAATTTTATACATTTGGCTGGAAAACATTGATAAATTGAGCCACTTTCGGTGCCGAGGTCATTCCTTTTGAAGGAGGTGCAACCAACCACCGAAAGTAGTGAAACACTCGGTGAACTCTAGCGCAAGGTCCTAACTAAGCTCTCTTTTATTAGTGGACCTCCTTCTGTCCGTAATAGTGAAACAAACTTGCATGTATTTAACCTGTTCCGAAAACTAGCTGTCTATAGCCTGCACTGCGGCTTTAAATATTCATGACGCAGAGCGGCATAGTCCCCTAAATTTCTGTTTATATTGCGGGGCGTCTATATTAGCGGGACATGATAGCACCACATGTTGAAATTCTTTTACTGATAACGTCAATGAAGACCTTAATCGGACCTTTCATAACCGGTCATCATGAATTATAAAACAACATATCTAACATTCTCCAGAAATATTGTTCTTTTTTCAACTTTCTGAATAATTAGGTATCCAGCCCCCAAAAAGTATTCAGAACCAGATTCTAAATCCAAAGGTACTGTGTAAACAGATTTTCTTGTGACAAAAAAGAAAAATTTGTTGAAAACAGAACTTTCTAAAGTGAAAAGATATGTAAAGTATGATTTGGAAATCAAAATAATAAAAAATGTATGAACTTTTTGTGGAATTTTCACTTTTATAGATTAGGAACTTCCCTTGTGGTGCCAGTTGCATTTGAGTGCTTGCATGAGTCAAATATCAAAGCACAGCAAAATATTAATCTGTACAGCTGTGGCAAAACTGTGTTAATGAAAACTTTTTTCCAAACTAGGTGGCTATCTTGGTTGTGCTTTACTTGTGTGCCAATATACATACAATTTTTTCTTCTAGGTGATAGAGCTACATTGTACAGGGAGTCCAGCTGCCCACTGAAACTTGCCGAGGACATCTGGTTTGGATGCTGTTCCTGCACCTATGTCACCAAAGATCAGCGTGTAATTGTGAGCCACCTGGCTGCTCATGGTGATGAACAAGCCAAGTGCCAGCATCCTCTCATGTCGGGCTCTAAGTCCCAAATGATCGGCAACACTCAAAAGCACAAGAGTGAAAAGCCATTTAAGTGCAAGCTTTGCCCCCGAGAGTTTGCTTATAATTCCCTTCTGACCTGTCATAACCGAACACACACTGGTGAAAGGCCATTTAAGTGCAAGCAGTGCCCTAAAACCTTTGCCCTAAATTCCCATCTGCAAAGCCATAATCGAACATGCACTGGTGAAAAACCATTTAAGTGCAAGCAGTGCCCCCAAGCCTTTGCTCGAAATATCCATTTAAGAAATCATGATCGAACACACATTGGTGAAAAGCCATTTAAGTGCAAGCAGTGCCCCAAAGCCTTTGCTCGAATTTCCTATTTGAAAGATCATAATCGAACACACACAGGTGAAAAGCCATTTAAGTGCAAGCAGTGCCCCAAAGCCTTTGCTCAAAATTCTAATCTGAGAAAGCATAATCGAACACACACTGGTGAAAAGCCATTTAAGTGCAAGCAGTGCCCCCAAACCTTCGCTCAAAATTTTCATCTGAGAACTCATAATCGAACACACACTGGTGAAAAGCCATTTAAGTGCAAGCAGTGCCCCAAAGCCTTTGCCCAAGATTCCCATTTGCAAAATCATAATCGAACACACACTGATGAAAAACCCTTTAAGTGTAAGCTGTGCCCCCAAGCCTTTGCTCAAAATATCCATCTGAGAAATCATAATCGAACGCACACTGGTGAAAAGCCATTTAAGTGCAAGCAGTGTTTCAAAACCTTTGCTCAAGCTTCCCAACTGAAAAACCATAATCGAACACACACAGGTGAAAAGCCATTTAAGTGCCAGCAGTGCCCCCTAGCCTTTGCTCAAAATTCCAATATAAGGAAGCATAATCGAACACACACTGGTGAAAAGCCATTTAAGTGCAAGCAGTGCCCCCAAGCCTTTGCTCAAAATTTCCATCTGAGAATTCATAATCGAACACACACTGGGGAAAAGCCATTTAAGTGCAAGCAGTGCCCCAAAGCCTTTGCTCAAGATTCCCATCTGCGAAACCATAATCGAACACACACAGGTGAAAAGCCATTTAAGTGCAAGCAGTGCCCCGAAGCCTTTGCTCGAAATTCTAATATGAGAACTCATAACCAAAGACATGCTATGAAAAACCATTAAAGTGCAAGCAGTGCCCCCAAGCCTTTGCTAAAAATATCCTGAGAAATCATAATGAATGCACACTGGTGGAAAGCCATTTCAGTGAAAGCAGTACCCCAAATCCTTTGATGAATATTTTTATCTGAAACCATAATCGAACGCACACAGGTGAGAAGCCATTGAAGTGCAAGCAGTGCCCTAAAGCCTTTGTTTAAAATTACTATCTGCAAAATCATAATTGAACACACACAGGTGAAAAGCCATTTAAGTGCAAGTAGTGCCCCCAAGCCTTTGCTCGAAATTGCCATCTGAGAAATCATAATCAAACACACACTGGTGAAAAGTCATTTAAATGCATGCAGTGCCCCGAAGCCTTTTCTCATAATGGCAGTCTGATCCATTATTGTCAAACACACAGTCTAAAAGCCTTACCAGTGTAAGCAAAGCCCCAAAAGCTTTGCTCAGAATGGTTTATCTGCCAGAACAAGATGCACGCGTCCAGAATGCCTTGTGGTTAACCCTTAAGTTGAGCCTGCCCCTGGTGCGATCATTTAACTCGTGCAGAACTTTATGCCATTTCAATCGAAGTATTCATTACTTGATTCCAACATGGGTCCCAAAGGCTTTGCTCAGATTAATAGTTAAGCTCGCCACACTGAAGCCATTATGCACATTAAGGCTCACAAATACCAGCAGCGACCTAGGCCGTTCTCTAAATGGTCTTGCCTTGTCGGGCACATGCTAACACAAGGTTAGCAAACCCTAACGGCATTTGCGTAAAGCTTGAGGCAAGTAGGCCTTTCAAATGCCAGCAATATCCGAGAAGCTTGAATCAGAATTGCAGGTTGCTTGGCCGCTTAGACTGCACACAGAGCCAGACTATTTGGCCTTGCTCTGGAGCCTTGCATCCAAACTCCACCGGTTATCACACTAATGTATGGGTTAGTAGTAAATGACTCATCTCCACCTGTGATCTAGAAACTGGGTCAATAAATAGGAGACATTGTTTAATGTTTTGCAGAGCAGCTACTCTGTGTTATGCACCTGAATGTACTTTGGGTCATGCCCTAGCTCTTGTTCCAAGCTCCCTTGAACTCGCTCGAGGTGTGCTTTTTGATGCAAGGTCTAATAGGTTTCCTCTAACTATGAGGAAGATGGAATGTAACAAAAGTTAATGTGTGACCAAATTTTATGTGGTTTATTAAAAAGAAAAAAGGTTGGTAGTTTAAAATTTCACTTTGTTTCTTTCAGCGGCTACCGATTTTGGTACTGAAGTAACGGCTCGTTGACACCCCTGAGACTGCTTACCACCAGATAGGCTAAAAACCGGTTTTAAACCTCTTGTGAGGGCTTACGACTTTCTGCATTTCTGTGCAGCCGGTAGGCAGCAGTCACAGGAGGCTTGAAAACGGGTCTTGTCTCAGTCGGTCGTAGTGAAACTAAGTGTGTGAACGGGCCTTAAGTAGTTTGAAGTAACTTTTTCAAAGATTCTTCTTTTTACGTCCTGTAACGTGGCAAGACCTCATTCTAGCAGTTTCATCGGTGGGATACTGATTGCCGAGTATGTGTGTGCGTGGACCACAACACTTCCTGCTACTGGTTGGGACATCGCTAGTTGAATATTCTTCGCACTCCCCAGCAGGTTTTGTTATAAATTAGCACTGTACCCATTGGTATCTTTGCAATCATGTGTTTATATGGCATCTACTTTGAGTTGTAGGTGTCTTGGTATGTTCGAAAAAAACCTTTTGCTTGTTTTTGTGAAACACAGGTTAACAGTTTGTTTCTCTGCTTCACTGATGGCTAACATTCTTATATTTTTTATTAGAATGAGGAGGGTCGGTGAAGCCAAGTCTCAATGAATACTAACTCAGCCATGAATTTGCTTTAGTTACAGGGTCAATGTGTGTTTATTTTTGCATTGTGTAATTAATTTGAAAGCATATCTTTCTTGCTATGATTTTTTTTTTCTTTTACTCTTTTTTGTTTGGCTTGAACAAAATCTGCGGATGATAAATATGTGAATTTGCTTTGGTTACAGGGTCCTTTGGATTGTTTCTCAATGCGTGTTTATTTTTGAATTGTGTAATTAATTTGAAAGCATATCTTTATTGCAATGTTTTTTTTTCACTCTTTTTCGTTTAGCTTGAACAAAATCTGCAGATGATAAATAGGTATTCAGCCTTTTGCTTCTCTATTTTGCAAAAATAAAGGTCTACAGTCAAGTTTACACAGTGTTATCCTTTTGTCTGCCATTGCCTACCTTAGCTGAAGCAAACGTGCCACAGGCGGGGTAGCTCTTTAGAAAGTTCCCGCTTTGCCATCCTGCTTGATGCTGGGATCTCTCTGTAGCAGTTAAGAGAGTGGCGGCTTCTGGTATCTGTTCTGACAATAGCCCAATTCCTGCCCTCCAGCTGGCTTATGCAAGAGGTGACATCATGTTTTTTTTGTGCTGTCTGATACATGTGAAGGCATGATGCTGCATTCTCAAATGGTATGAAACAGAGACTTGGGAATCTAGTTGAAATTTGGACTGATTTTATTGGGCTCATACTCCTCAGCACAGGCATCTTCCTAAATACAAATTGTTAAATGACAGTTCCTTCTTTTCAGCCATCACTATTTTTCAGTTATGTGACCGCAATATTTTGTTGCACCAGGCACTTGTCCTGGAAGGCTGTAGTTGTGGCTCCTGGCTCTCTTCACCAGAACTTATATATTGGATGTTGTCGTAGAAGTTGGAGAGTTTCTTGTTCGTTTTCTTAGCTTAAGGAACACAGCTGCTAGTATATGGTTACAGCTAGGGCATGTGGGAAATGACAACTGATACATGTACAAAGTCTGATGGCAGAGTCTCGGTCATTTGCCGTTTGTGGCGAGTTGAAAGGTGTTGGGCCCACCCTAGATTTGCTGAAGGCGAGAAAGACGTGTAGGATCACTGAGAAATAGAGAACGTGGGTGGTGTCTTTCGAACGCCCAGCCTCCATCATGCGCTTTATGCCTTCCGGTTTAATTTGGCAATGTGTGCGCGCTCAAGGTGGAGGAGACTCCAAAGTGTTCCCGAACCTATGCGCCAAGAAACTGAGGGAGGGGAGACGAAAGTGCCTGGGGACATCAGAACACCAAGCTCTGATCATCGAGTTATTTTAATGTATGCTAGCGGTTCAATGGCACTAGTGTGCTGTCGCAAATTAAAGCAGGCAGCAACCAGTCAAAAATTTATTTCCAGTAATGCATTCCTATAGGAAGAAGTGAATGCATATCCGAAATGATTCCTATGTACTAGTTAGCTTGGAGCATTTCTCAGTCAGGCTGACGAATAATTGGTCAGTTACAGCGTTTTTCTTTCAAATTCATGCCGTTAGAAGGGGTGCTTAAACGGCTTTTTACATGTATTGCTGGGCAGCGTCGGACACTGTTAGTGCGAACACAACGTCGATGCTTTCAAGCATGAGGGACGTACGTGCCAAATGAATGAAGGACATCGGGAAAACCAAGGGAGATGACAGCTATGTAGTAGCACTGGATCAGTATCTCCCTGTGCATGAAGGATCGAAATAAACTGAAGCCATGTAATATAGTCCGATTTTCGATAAGCAAGTCCTGCTGTCTTTCAGCTTTGTGCGAAGATGCTTGTTCTATGTTTGAATTCCCACACGACAACTCAGTCTGGGCGAGGACAAAAAGAGCTGTGTTTTCTTGTGACTCTAGTTGCTCGAAGGTTGTAAAGAGAGGGATTGGCAGAGGTTGTATGCAAACGGCCCGGGTGAGGTCTTGCCCTCACCAGATGATGGCTAGTTTTTTCAACCAGGTCAACAGGCTCACACAGGGTGGGTACCCGATGGAGGTCCTTGTCAGTCTGGCGGAGAGCCTGCTGAAAAGTTTTCGACGCCCCAAGTCCCAGCCTAGAAAGAAACCCAACGTGAGACCGGTGGTTCTTCCTTATATACATAAGGTTACGCGCACTCAAAATGGTAACACAGCGACACGGAGTCCCCGTGCTGTTCTCCGCGCCTTCGAAACTGGGACATCTATGTGCTAAGGTTGAGAGGGGTCGTCAGGAAAAACTCGGCTGTGGTGAGAAGCACAAGAAGGCGTTTGTGCCGTGCGCGGTCGGCGTGGTGTACAAAATTGAGTTGTCCTGTGGGAGAGTACTTTGGCCAATCAGGGAGGTGTATCAATGATAGGCTCGGAGAACTCTCATTTTCAATATGATCTTCACCTTCGGGTAATTTGGCCATTCATTGTGATAGATGTGGGTGCTCCCCTCTTGGATAAGACTATGATTGTTGCTTGGCACAGTCAGCAGGTGACACGTGAAATTATCTAGGCCTATTAGATTTCGAAGTATGAGGATGAGTGCGTCAGTGCTCCCTCGATTGCGCTCTTTGATAAGGAAATTCTGTTTTTGGAGAGTTGTGACACGGGCCCTTAGGCGATGGTGCAATGTATGTTTGTCTTGTGTTTTTATGCCGGTAAGTGGTTTCCAGAAATAAACCAGTTGGCAGTCAGCACTCGGTCTGTGTGTTCCTCGTTCTTTGTACTTTTGGCGCTGTTTCCCTCTTCGTAACGATATGCATAACCAACTCGCTCAATTTTCAACGGTCCCAGAAGGCACAACTGTAGGGTGGGCCTGTCACCAAGTTTCACGCCGGCGTCTTGTTTTTTCTCACTTTTTCTCATTTTCCTGCTTTCTAAGGCGCTCCCGGTGGTTGTTCCATTTCTGAAAGAAAGATACACATTGATTATTACTTACATGCAGATTCAGTGAGGTGCACACTTTTTTGCGAAAAGTGTCTTCCGTTGCAGATCTTCTGGAGAGATGCCGAAAGCTACTGTCTGAATAAAATAATTGAGTGGTGTGATACATCCACTTGTTTTTTAATTCATTTATTTGAGATTGGGTTTCACTACAGTGAACTAGAGAGGAGTAGTGAGTCCACATGCTGGCCGGCAAGGTTACTCTTTCTGTGAATGCTGGTAGACGGCGCCACCGCCGCCTTCCCCCGAAGTTCTCCGGCCCCTCTGGCTACACTCCGTTGACTCGTTGAAAGCTCTGTGCGATGACCGTCGTTTTGTTTATATTTCTATAAAAAGAATATTTCCGAAATCATATGTTTGAAGAGTATTATAAAACTACCTATTATTCCCGTATTTTACTGCTGCTTGTCATTCTCTTATGTTATGGAATGGTATGCAAGTACTTAGATTGCAGAAATATAAAATGTCTGTGTAAGAGGGTCACGTAATTTCATATCATTTCGAGCCATAACAGAACAATAATTTGTGGGCTCTACCGTCAATAGCACATATTGACACACTTATTTTAAATTGCCAACAGGGCGCACTTTACAGTGTATGCATATGTTTTCAGCAGAATCTGTGTGCTTTGAATGAAAATAAAACTACAAAATAAACAAATGACCTATTCATGATGCTATAAAATTGTTTAGTTTCTTTATAACAATGAAGGAGCATCACCTTTTTGTGTACTCCACCACAACATATCAGAAGAGAACTCTGCTTGTAAAATATATTCAGCTACTGTGTATTGTTTTCGTCAGGTTTACATATACAACCAAAACAAAATTTGCAACTGCCTCAAGTGATTGAGCCAGCTCATTCAAATGAAACTGTTTTATTTCTACAGCCAAGCTGTTATGGGTGCTAGGATCTGGGAAAAAATGTGTCCATGGATGTTAACAAAAAACTCCCATTTAGATGGCGCTCCTTCGTTCCGACTGGTCTTGGCAAGTATAAATAAAAAGAGGGGGCAACCCGCGTGAGTCAGTCTTCCTTGGCATTATTAGAGAGTGAGGTCCTGATCCCTTGTTATCATCTACGGTCACGGACTTATCTCAGCTAAGAGTGCGCTGCGACGAGGCTGAGGGCAGAACGCACCAATTGCGTTGTGCCTCAGCAGTTGGGTCTCACATGAAAAACATTTTCATGTGAGACCCAACTGCTATCTTTCACGACTGACCTACATCACATTCTGGACCGAGGATCCCAGGCGGACTGCATTTTCCTGGATTTCGCCAAAGCATTTGACAAAGTTTCTCACAATCTTCTGCTTCTAAAACTTTCCAAACTTAACATAGACAATAACGTTCTCGCATGGATACAGTCTTTTTTAACTCAACGGTCTCAATTTGTCACTGTGAATAACAATAACTCCTCTTTTGTCAAAGTTGCGTCAGGGGTTCTGCAAGGGACAGTCTTGGGGCCGTTGCTATTCTTAATTTATATTAACGACCTACCCACTAGTGTCTCTTCGTCCGTGTCTCTGTTCGCTGACGACTGTGTACTTTACCGCGAGATTCTCAATCATAATGACACCTGTATACTCCAATCAGACATTAATGCTATTTACCGTTGGTCTGACTCGTGGTCTATGAAGCTTAACACTAACAAATGCAAGGTCATGCGTGTGTCTCGCCAGTCTCAGGACTCTCCTAACTATTTCCTTAATAATGCTCATCTAGAACCGGTATCTTCGTACAAATATTTAGGCGTACATATAGCTTCTAACCTTTCATGGAAAACACATATTCAGCATATTTCAGCTAACGCTAACCGCATGTTAGGTTACATCAAGTGAAATTTTTCATTAGCCCCTGTCTCACTGAAATTAACTCTTTACAAAGTTTTAATTCGTCCCAAGTTAGAATATGCAGCTTCTGTCTGGGATCCCGGACTAGTCACTCTCGTATCTACATTGGAAGCCGTTCAGAACAGATCCGCTCGTTTCATCCTCACAAACTATCACCGCACCGCTAGCGTCACCTCTATGAAAACAACTCTCTCATTACCACCTTTATCCCTACGTCGTAAAATTTCTCGTCTTTCCCTATTCCATAAAATGTATCACCATAATTCTTTCCTGCGCGACAAATTAATTGCTCGCCCTGTTTATGTTTCCTCCCGTCTTGATCATCAACATAAGGTGGGCATTCCTAACTCTATCACAACCACGTTTTATTCATCTTTCGTTCCCCGTACATCCCAGGAGTGGAACCACCTTCCCCGGTCGATCGCCATTATCACGGACTCTGAGCTCTTTAAAAGTACAATAACTAATTACTTTATTACTGAGTGTGTCTAAATATGTATTATGTTATTTGCATTAACCTTCTTGTTGCTCTCCCCCTCTGTAATGCCTTCGGGCCCTGAGGGTATAATAAATGAAATGAAATGAAATCTAACTTTCTTTTCTTTTGCTTCCACA